ACTTCATTGTTTTAGTTTCCCCCTATGGATACTTCTAAGCTCCTATATACATATATATATTATATATATATATATATATATATATATATATACTGAGTTTTGCGCTCAAAATGTCAGTTATGCCCTTTTGCCGTGGGTTTTCTGATTTAAGACATGTTGACAAATTTTGGCAAAAGGATATATACACAGTTTAGTTCCTTTCCACGCAATTTTAAGTCAGATTAGTCATGTATAAACTGTCAAATTAATGTACAATAATAACAAAGAAACGCATTAAATAATAAATACTAAAATTACAAACGATTAAAAACCCATGTATAGGCTAACCAAGTATACAAACGAGAAAGAGAATTAAAAATAGTATGCTGTTATGTATCAACAAAGCCTTTTTAGCTCAATTTGCTATCGAGGACCCTGTGGGTCAGGGGCCTTATGGACCCCTAGGGGTCCGAGTGGGCCCCGCACAAGAATGATGCATGCGTAATAGAACTGTTGTTTAGTTAGAATGCGCGTGTGTGACTGTTTTTATTTGTTAAACACGTATTACAATTATTTTATATAAATTGGTTTTTAATTTTTTTATTTACCAGGAAAAATAATAAATATATATTTATATTTATATAAATTAGGCATATTATTATTATTATTTTTATCAGCGATTCTTCTCTATGATCCAAATTCAAGTAATAATAAAGTGATTACAAATATTATTGTTTTTTATATTCTAATAAAATATTTAGAAAATGTATTATATATTTAGATTTAGATGGAAAAGTAAGTTGTTGTTTGCTTAGTGAACACAGTTGATTCGAATAAACTGTGCAGTTATACCTTTTTGCCATGTTATTTACTATAAATAAACGAAATAGTATTGCCTTTTTGCCATGGTTATTTGCTGAATAAACGTTGTAGTTCTGCCTCTTTGTCATAGTTATTTGCTAAATATTCGTTTTGGTTGTCCCTCCTTGCCACTGTTATTTCTAGTGAAAATGTGAATTGTTATTCTGCAATGGTTAATTATTGTTTTTAAACAGTTACTATTTTCCCATAGATTTACTTCCATACTATTAAACTGTATGCCATTCAAAATAAGGCAAGATATAGCATAAATTAACTAGACTTATCATGTTTGCCTAACATTAACTAGACATATGCTACTGTCAAGAATCATACTATTTAACTAATTTATATTTACTGAACTGTGAGTACACAAACCGTAAGAATATTAAAAATAATAAAACTTAACAAGCAACCTTCATTGTAACCAGGGAGAAAGCTCTCTTTTGATTGTTTGGCTGTTGAAAGAACGTCACGCTACAGCCTATCACAGCCTATCTTTGCATTTATGCCCTTTCGCCTTGGGAATTGTCTGAAAATTGTGTAGTTATGCCTTTTTTCCATGCCCTTATCTAGCCCGGGGACACTGCTTTACATTTTTTTTTTTGTGTCAACATGTGTAACATGATGTACTGACCCCACTAGGCTATATTACTCAATTTCGCCAAAATTGTCAGTTATGCCCTTTTGCCATGGGGTGGGGGGGGGGATATAGTAGGGGCCTCCCTAGGCTAGGCCTAGGCCAATAGTATAGTAAAATACTGTATTAGTCATATGAATAAAGGTTTACATTGTACTAATGTCGAAAATTAACGATTTAATTTTTTTTTCATTGAGAATACAAATACAAAAACGTCCGAGTCTGTATGGTGATGTCTGATGTCATAAAGGCAATACATTTACTATTATGGTCAGAGGTATTTTTTAGCCACATGATATAGTCAGTTCTTTCAAGACATCCGATGCACATGTCCATGGTCTTTGTTAAAGGTTGTTCTCGTAGCCACCCAAACCTGCAGGACCATTTGAATTTGGCTTGTACATACCTGACATAGCCATTAACTATATTTTTAATGGTTTTAACTCTAGTCCAATTTACCTGAAAAAGTAGCCATCCTCCATCAACCACATGCGTCTTTCTGTTCGTGTCCAAGGTTGGTGTAATTGTTGTTTCTTTGAGCATATTGCCTAATTCATTCTCTTGGAGCTTCATCATCATTATCTAAACATCTCTTTAAAACCTTCATCTCGTTAATGAAGATAAGGTTAAAACCAAAATCAACATTGATGATACCACATTAGAGAAGGTCGAAAACTTCAAATACCTTGGTGTTACCTTCAACTGAGTGATTCAACTACAGAAATCAGAAGTAGACTTAGGGCCCGTTCGAGCAAAAAACGCCAACCATATTCCGTTTATTTCACCGGGTAATCGCGCTGAGCACTCAGCGGGTGGTCGACCATTCGAGCAAGTTTTAGCTCACGGTAAATACGTGTAACGAAACTACTCCGGAAGAAAATTTCAACT